AACAGGTATGTGGATGACAGTCGGAGTCAGTCAGTTAGTATATTGACAGCTAATTATTGTTATACGTTAATAAACAATGCCAAGTACTAGTGAATGCAGAGTGATAGGCAACCTTTGACCTAAAGTCGCGGAGGGTAATAAATCATTTCCTGAGTGGCACATATTTGCCACGTAACAATAGGATTTCGAGAATTATCGAAAAAAATGTTTGGCTGATAACAATATATATAGACCTGTGGATGGCAACCCGAGTCAGTCAGTTAGTATATTGACAACTGATTATTATATGTTAATAAACAATGCCAAGTACTAGCGAATACCGAGTGATAGGTAATCTCTGAACTAAAATCGCGGAGGGTAATAAATCATTCCCTGAGCGGCACATATTTGCCGCGTAACAATAAGATTTCGAGAATTACTGAGAAAAATGTTTGGTTGATAACAATATATATAGGCCTGTGGATGACAGACCGAGTCAGTCAGTTCATATATTGACAACTGACTATTGTTATACGTTAATAAACAATGCCAAGTACTAGCAAATATGTGAGTGATATAAATGTTTTTTTATCGCATGTACCTAACAAATAGATAACTAAATATCACGATTCCATTAAAATTGCTTTTAGTAACTGTTTAAGAAAATCAAATTATCATTTCGTCGTTATTATTATTCGTTAGTTGCCCAAAGGTTAGCACGTAAAGGGTTTAAAACAGTTGCGTCGGTCGTCGTCGAGACGATAAATTTGAGTTTGTGTGTGCATTAAAATCGAATGAAGGAAACACCATCTGCATTCGTGCTATTGCAGATTGCGGATTAAATATAGATATCCTGTTCTAATTCAATTTTAATGAGCAGTAAATTATCGGTAACTTTGTAATCGACTTATGATTGCCACGAACCTGGTCGAGACTGAATGACTGGATGATTCGGGGAAGCAAATTGCTCGGTTACTTGCTTCTCCTTACTCCTCCCCTCATTCTTGCTTTATTAAATATCCCTTGTTAGCAATCGAAGTTGCTTTGATTGTTATTAGTTGTGCGTTTCTCAGTGAAAATTATGAGATTGCTAAATTGCAAATTGAGACATGAAAAGGGAAATGAAATAAGTCAGGGTTAGTGACAGCTTCTCCTGATGAACGGAAAGGTGGAAAAACACAGACCAACTTTTGCACTGCTGTCTTAACAGTGCGTTTTAGAAAATACTACAAATGGCGCAGTAAACGCCATCTGTAGTACGATGCTACATTTTAGGATTACGTATGCTCCAACAAGGTCCTCTCGTGTGGATATCTACTTGCTGAAAGCGAATCCCGCCTTAGCCAACCTCAACGTGATAGGCACGTTAGCTTAATCGAATAAAATAATTCTAAGTGGTCTGTATTCTGTCGAAACTGCCAGACGCGGATCGCGATTTCTAACTTTTTGGATCTCATCAGCGTATCGCAGGCAACTCCGACAGAATACAGACCAACTTTTACCTGCTGTCTCAACAGTGCGTTTTAGAAACTATTTTTAGAGGTTGGCTAAGGCGGGATTCGCTTTCAGCAAGTAGATATCCACACGAGAGGACCTTGTTGGAGCATACGTAATCCTAAAATGTAGCATCGTGCTACAGATGGCGTTTACTGCGCCATTTGTAGTATTTACTATTTCTATTATATCTAATAAGATTTAAATTTGTTGGTATTGCTTTTTATGACATGGCGTCCGCGCGAGTTCGTCTCGTCTTCGACTTTGACAAATGCCGCCGTAGTGCCGTGATTTTGGAAGTTCTGTTTTAATTTAACAATTTATAAATTCAAAATTGACGTCAAATGACGTCAAATCCGGGGGATGCCAATACAAATGTGACCACCTGTAACAAGGACATGCGAGAGGGAGAAAAATAATGAAATCCATGTGATGTAATTGATAGATTGGCACGAATGTCAGCGGAAAACCCGTTGTAAAAATAGTTGTTAAATCGAAATAAAGTTGAGATAATAGCCAGACAAACATGTACAGTGCAGACATTTTGAGTGCTACTGTACGGTCATCGCTGCAGGACGAGAGAGAAGGTCCGGCGGATCTCCCCTGCGATTACGCTCATCGGTTCGGAAGGTTGCGTTTACCCCAGAAGTTGGAATTTAGAGTGCGGCAACTATTAAGACACGAGACCACCCGCTTTCGTAATTTGTATCGCGCCACCTAATTGTTCTTCACTTAATGATCCGAAACACTAGTGCTACAACCGTAACTTCACTGTTTGGCAATCTAAATTCCGACGTTAGTTTGAATTTCGTAACAAAATTACTGGCCCACGGGTGTTGTATATCCCATCGAAAATTAGTTTTTCGGAATATTCTTGGAATACTGAAAAGGATGAACACAAAATGAAATAACAAATCGATTTCAACGATCTCACAGGTTTTGCTTGAAACTCTTTATAATTCCGTTCTTGTTCTTCAATAAATTACTACATACTTATTGTACGCTACTGCATTCTCGCGTAGAATGGACTTTCTTTTTGCCTGACGTAATAGTATCGAATAGTCCCGTATTCTCATTTCTTTTTCGTGGCCGAAAACCGCAAACAAATGTTTTCGGGGGTTTAAGCTTTATAATCCAATTATCGTTCGCCTGAATGCAGCAAGGGCTGTAACAAGCGTCCTAAAAACTTAAGTTCAAAAGGCCATAAGAGAGAGAGACGACCACCGCAAATGTCCTGTGCCTCTAGTCATCCACCAGCATCCTGCATCCCGTCGTCTGTGAAACAGGAACTAATCATAACGAAACAAAAGCATTTCGTGGCCAAGTCCAGAACTAACCCTCTTTTCTCTCTGCTTATGCCTCCTCAGTCCACTTCACTCCTACTTTTCCTCTGACTCACCCCTGGATTCTTCGGCAACTTTTCAACTGCCGGGGCACTACACGCGGCGGTCTTTTGGAACATTTCAATTACCGGCATAATTATTTAATGTTCTGTTAAAATGCCAAAGTAGATTAGAAACGAAGGTATGGATGGGGAATTCCCTTCGTTTAGTCCACTACACCGGGTGAGAAATAAATTGTTACGTATGTTTACATGAAATGCATGAGGACATTTAGTGGTACCAAGGGCATTTTCCACTTGTTATTTGGTTCTAAGGACCTTTAATCTAGATATATACATTAAAAGCTCTTTATTCGCGGGGTATACGTTCGGTAAATATGCCGCGAATACAGAAACCGCGGATATAGAATGGTAATTAGTATGGAATCATAGGGGATACGTTCTAAGGTCCCAAAATAAAACCCACATGTATCAAAATAAAATCAATATATTGATAAATTCGCAATTAAAATTAATCGTTATAATCAGCTTTAGGCAAGAGTTTAAAAAATTTAGTTGTTTTGAATTTTGAAATTAGTCCACTCGGTTGCATCTTTTATAAAAGTCGCCTCGGCACGAGCCAATAGTACTCAAAAGACGCTGATACGTTGAAAAATAACACCGAATCCTTTTCTATTCAAAAGATGTCGATACAGTATGGGGATTCAGTGGTACACGCGCCATAGAGTAAAAACTTACTTATCGGTTCTAGATATCATGAGTTTAATATTTAAAATAGAGGTTTGAAACTTTGTAGTAAGATAGATACAGCTTTGTTCTAAAGCTTGTCGAAGGGCGTTTCTTAATTTTTTAATTTCTATTGAAAATACGTGTCCTACAAGAAACATCAACTTTAAGCACTTGTAAAAGCTTTTAATGACCATATTATTGAAAATCAAAAACGTACCGAGTTAGTGTGAACCTTTGTCTGTTACCATACAAAAAATTAGATATTTATCTCGCAGCGTTAAATTACAATATTTAGAATACAAACCCATGTTTTCGGAAAAATTCACACTAGGCACGAGCGGTCTATTGCGGTCAATCCCCTTAATAAATGACACCGAATCCTTTTCTGTTTACCGATTGCAACTGCGAATAATGAAATTTTTAACCGCGAGTACAGGAACTGGGTTGCAATTCTTTCTCCAGCGGATAATGAAAACGCGAATAAGGAAACTGTGAATACGGAACTTTTACTGTACGTACGTATCGAATCCAAAAAAATGAAAATGCTTAGGATCGCGGGTGATACTTATTCACACATTTATGCATGTTTGCTTCCCATCCACATACCCACCTACATATAACAGTATAAGTATTGTTTGCTATTTATACAAACATGACCATTGGAGCATTTATAATATAGATAATTTAGCATTCGGAAGCAACAGTGGATGAGGGAGGACTAGTTGAATGCAGAAACGTTTGCCAGGGAATCTACAGATGCGTATGAACGTTGGCAATTGAACTGCAAAACAAACGTACGTAGAAGTGGTAGGTAGGTAACTAGGTGGAACAAGAAGCAAAGCGGCAACACGCAAACACAAACAGCAACTTTACCAAGAAACAATTAGGGTGTAGATCGCACCTTACTCTGATTGCTCAAAGGCATCCCCTGCCCAAGACGGTACGAAATTAATTTCGCTTGCCCTGTTCTCTTCCATCAAAGATGACCAAACCTAAGAAATGCTTTTGTCTATTTAACACTCCTAATTGGGTAGTTTACATGAATGATGTAGAATTGATAGACATTGATTCATTTCTCGGTTTCTTCTCATCTAATTGCAACCAAGTTGTAAAATTATTATGGAAAAGGGACATTCCTCGACTTAATTTTTTGTCACATATTCTGCTGTAGTCTAGGTAATACCTGAAAGGATTTTTGGCGACTCAAACTAGAAGTGACTTCGTTTGTGTTGTCTTTCCTACTGTAGGTAACCTTGCAATCAAACAATATCTTTCTTCTCTCAATATATTTATTGGGCAAATATTTTCCTATCTAAAATTAGGTACATCTCGGTCGGAAATGGGAACGGGAGTGACAGATAGTGAAGGTTAATTTGTACAACACTAAAAAAAATTGGTGGAGGCATTGTGGGTAGATATAAGAAACGACAACACAAAAAAAGTGAATGTTGTTGTGATCATGCCTTTATACTTGTACGTATTTCCTTTTTGCCTACCCCTTGATCGTAGGGTATTGTACCTTTTCAAAACTGAAGCCTGTGAAACATTAATTTTGAAACATTCTTTATATTTTTTTATTCATTTTCTTATCAGGATCTCTCCATTTCACTGTCGATAGCATGAACACTTTATTTTGGCAAAACATGTTTGTAGAAGAAGAAGAAGATAAATAAAAATGGTCACATTCGAAAATATTTATTACTTTTTAGGCATTCGTTAAAGAAGTTTGTCATTTCAGAATTGATTCTGGACAGACGTTTCGTATAGTGCCAATCCTTCCCCATTAGTTCAGTATCCTTCAGGAAAAAGCCAAAATCATTTTGTCCTGTCCCAGATTTACGGTACATCTCTAGGGGTCCAACGGGTTTCAAAAAACCTTAAAGAAAAAAATTATTTATACCATTTTTTTTTTAACTTTTTCTGTTTGTAAATTGTTTAAAATGACCTAATCATGGAAAACTTACATGAAATAATAGGGCGGAAGATGTTTTGAGTAGTTTTTACTAATAATAAACATTTTTAGATTACACTTCACAATTAAAAGTTCATTTTGGCAGTTATTGTTAACGGTTAAACTCCTGTAGTATTGATTTTAGTTTGAAAAGGTCCATTTGTAAGAAAATAAGATGTAAAAAAGGGTTGATTAGGTCATCTTAAGTCATTTTCAACAAGAAAACGTTACATTTTCGAAAATGATACGGAAATTTTACCCTTTTGTTACCTTTCTTTCTCATTTTGTCCAATCTATCAAATGATCCATATGCATATCCGTCGCAAGTCCCCAAATATGGATCAAAATCAGTCGAAATGTCATTCAGCCTGGTACCAGCCGGATATCTTTTGAGTTTTTCGAAAACATTTTCCATTTTAACTGGCTCATTATAATTTGGATCCATAAAATCCTTTATAGGGTCTGCTACACCATAGCATGTAATTCCAAACCAATCCATTCTGACTTATTTTAAATAAAAAAAAAAGTTAGCAAAATACTTTCTAAAATTATTGTGACATCCCGAGAAACCTGACGGATTAATTGTCAAAGTTGTGGACTACACGTTTATATGATGATGCAGATGCAGACATTTAATATTTAAAAGGTTGTTTTTTGACCGGAATTTTTTCTTTAGATAGCTAGAGACTAAAATAAATAGATCATCCCCAGTTTTCCTACCCTTAGGGTTACTTTTTTTCCAAGTTTATATGGGACCAACTTCAGGGTAGACCCTTTCCAATAAAAAAAAGAATTATCAAAATCCGACTATTTAATTCAAAGGTTATGTGTGGTCATACATTACAATCAGTGAGTGAACAACAATCAACAATCATTCCCTGTTTTTCTACTCTTAGGGATGAAATTTTCTTTCCAAATTTATACGAGACCAATTTCAGGATATACCCTTTCCAATAAAAGGAGTATTTTCAAAATCGGACTATTCTTTCAAAGGTTATGCGTGGTCATACATTACAATCAGTGACTGTTTTCTTACCCTTAGGGTTGGAATTTTCTTTCCAAATTTATATGGAACCAACTTCAGGGTATACCCTTTCCAATAAATGGAGAACTATCAAAATCGGACTATTCTGTCAAAAGTTATGCGTGGTCATACAATACAATCAGTGACTGAACAACTATCAATCATCCCCTGTTTTCCTACCATTAGGGTTGGAATTTTCTTTCCAACTTTATATGAGACGAACTTCAAGGTATACCCTTTCCAATAAATGGAGAACTATCAAAATCGGACTATTCTGTCAAAAGTTATGCGTGGTAATACATTACAATCAGTGAGTGAACAACAATCAACAATCATCCGCTGTTTTTCTACCCTTAGGGTTGGAATTTTCTTTCCAAATTTATATGGGACCAACTTCGGGGTATACCCTTTTCAATAAAAAAAGAATTATCAAAATTAGACTATTCTGGCAAAAGTTATGCGTGGTCATACATAAAAAAAATATACATGTCGACTTGAGAATCTCCTCCTTTTTTTCGTTGATTAAAAAGAAATAAAGCAAAAGAATTTCGGTTTTTATTTAATGTTCGTTTAGAACTACAATGAAATCTACTGCTATTGTTTTGTTCGGAGTTTTCCTGCTCGATATCGTCTTGGAGTTCAAGAAACGTCGACGTTCCTTGTACGAACTAAACGTTCTCACCCTTCCTCCCATGCCCTTTCACCCCTCGAATCGCAGTAATTGGAATCGGACAGAGACAACGAGCACACGTATGAGTGTAAAACGCTTCTCGAAGACGACAACGACGTCGTCGGATGCAATAAGATATCGTAAAATATATGTTGAGGTGCGAGGCGTCGGTGTAACGCCGGCATATGCCTGCCGTTAGCGTCGCGACGGCGAAGCAACAGCATCGTCATCCGTATTGTCTTCTAATTAAATTTCATTAACCCCACCCTGTGAAGTGGAATGGAATCTTATATAACAAGTGACAGTTGATCTGTGCATCGGTATTGCGATTCTAGATTTGCTCGATTGTTGTTATATGTTGCGTCTAATTAGGTGTTCGCTGCTATTAACAACGTGCATACCCTCTCCGCTGCGCTCATTCTTCCTCCTCTTCCGCCTCCACATCATCATCCCCTTTTCGAACTCAAATAAACGTCTACCGACGTGTTTCCCTATTCTTGTTATTATTAGCGCTTGTGCGAAGTTAGATTAAGGAATAGATCACTCAAAACGTCAAAACTGCATGCAACGGGGTAACAACGGGTAAAAATGCGATAGATTGTGGCGCATTGCCTATCACCAAGGAGGTAATCTCGAGGTTAAAGCCAAATCGAAATTGTTTCTCGTTTGTCGGTGCTTAAAATCTCTAAATCGTCGGCTCTACAATCTGAAGATCTATTTTTTTGGTGAAAAGTGAATCAATAAAGTGTAAAGCAATGCGATTCGGGGTTGACGTTTCAAAAGCCACCATCCGAACATTCATTTTAATAAGTAGGTACTTATTGGTAATTAAACATCTTTTTTAAAGAATTTTCTAACCTAAGCGAACCCACATCGTCGCGTTACTCGCAAAGCATCGACATTCAATCATCGAATTTTTATCATTTACGTATAGGTGCGAGACGTTTAGAACAATTAACTTAACTTCCCATGCGTTAAAAATCGTAACTAGAATTGTACAGAGGAGGATAGAAAAAAGGGCAGAAAAACTATTAGGGGAAGATCAATTTGGGTTTATAAGAAATAGAGGAACGCGGAAGGTCATTCTAGCTTAGAGAACAATAGAGAAGACGATATAAAAAAGAAAGAGTGCGTGCCCAGGATCTGTAGATTTAGAAAAAACTTTTGACAATGTTAAATGGGACAAGATGCTAAATATAATTAAAAATGTAGGGATGAGTTACAAAAATAGAAAAGTGACACTTGGTTTGTATAAAGAGCAATAGTCCGTTATAGAGCTGGGGCTGCAACGTAGAGAAGTAAATATTAGGGAGGGAGTTAAACAGGGATGCACACTACACCGCTACTTTTTAATCTATCCATCTAAAAATTAGAAGTGGCTGATTTTAGGTATCTAGGAAATCAGATAATTCAGAACGGAAGGAGTAGTAGGGATATAAAGCAGAGAATAGTGCAGGGTTGTGTCACCTTCAATAAAAAGAAGTCACTTCTATGCTCGCGAAAGGTTAATTTAGAAGTTCGAAAAAGGTTGTTAAAGGTGTATGTTTGGGGCACGGCGCTGGACGAGTGCGAAACATAGACAGTGGGCGCGGCGGAAAAGAAAAGGTTGGAAGCGTTTGAAATGTGGTGTTACAGGCGAATGACGAGGATACCGATATGGATAGAGAAGGCTAGAAATGAAGAGGTATTAGAAAGAATAGGAAAACAGAACACTTCATGGAAGTCAACAAGAAATTAGGATTTAGGAAGGGTAGAGGTAGACCTATACTATATATATATTTAAGGATGTGGAATATTCTAGTTTTAGGGAAATGCGAAAATTAGCTCAAGATAGAAGAAAGTGAAGGTACGTGTCTAACCAGTCTTAGGACTGACGACCTTATGATGATGTTGACGTATTTTTTCGCATTTCTTTATAACGTAATAAGAGGTCCGGTAACCTTTAATCCTCCACCCCAATCGGCTCACAAATCTGTCGCTGGTCGAGTTTATTTAGACAGATCCCATAAAAACGTCCCATATAGTGTTTTCAACGTGCGTATGTGGCTAAATAATTAAATGAGATGCTTAATATCGTAGATTGGCCGAAAATGAAATAAATGCAGGATGGTGTGTTTGGCTACGTTTTGTTCAACTTCATTGGACATCTTTAATAGTCAAAATTTTAATAATTGTACTGTTGTTGAAAAAACTGAATCTACTGATTTGTTGTTGTAACCACATGAGATTGAGAAGTTCTCGCGTTGGTAATATCTGAGTTGAGTATCTTCGTCCTCTCGTCCCCTTAATGTTTCGGCGCCAAAATCGATACACGCGTTTTAATTTAAGTAAATAATAATTCATCCGCACATCGTCACATTCTAAGGAGGGCATTTCGACGTTGCCGACGATGGAACGCGATATCTCCTGAGCTACACAGGCTTAATGCAAATGGTCCATCTCTGAACACAATAGCGCTTTGATGAACGCCAATAAATCAGGGATATGCAAAACGTCCCTTCTATTAAGAAGGGGTGGTAAAAGTACAAACACATCAATACCAAGTGAGCTCGCGAAGCTTCAGCCGATGCGATGATGGAATTCAAAATTGGCCGAGAGGGTAACACACAATGAGAAATGTATCTAATTTTATTGGAAAGACGTATGAAGAATCGCTCTCTTCACTCTGGAAATATGATTTTCGTAATCTGTGGTAGATATTCAAAAAGTAATAATGATGAGCTATGTGAAACCTGTCCCAGTTGATTAAAGAAAATTTGTTTTTCCTTGAAACTTAAAGGTTAACGTTCATCACTACATAGTATAAAACAAAGTCGCTTTCCCGCTGTCTGTCCCTATGTATGCTTAAATCTTTAAAACTACGCGACGGATTTTGATGCGGTTTTTTTTAAAAGATAGAGGGATTCAAGCGGAAGGTTTATATGTATAATACATGCATAATATAGTACGGAAACACTGATAATTTTAGAGGTTTCTAATGTGATGTCGTAAATAAACACATTTTTTGCGCTTACATTGCAAACGCTGGCTGAACCCTACGAGATAGATCAAAATAATGTACCACAATATTGTACATCATAAAAGGGTCTACAAAAAAGTCCGCGATGGTATATGTCTATCTCTTAGGGATAACCCACAATAACCATTTTTATCCTTTACTTTTTATGAGAAGTAATGACTTATTTACGAAGCGATTGTAGGCAATACAGCATTAATTCTTATCCAATTAAGTACCTTAAATACATTGTGCATTTAATATAGATCAATATGGCCATTTACAGCATGTAATTTAAATGAATATTTTCGAAGATATTACAGATTTAAAATGCAGGGACATAGCGGTTGCGGCGCTACCGGCCGGGAGGCCGGTTTGTATTGTCTAATGACAAAAAACTGTGAATGTTATATATAAAGACATTCTGTAGTATATTTAGTATGTTCAGGGGGTATGTTTTGAAGATTTCCCCTTTTCGATAATAATCTACACAAAACAAAAATATATTTAGTATCAGCATTGCACCCGTGCGAAGCTGGGATGGATCAGTAGTATTATCCTAAATTACCTCTACTTTAAGAAAATACAGGCTGTAACACAAATAATTAAGTAAATATTTATATGTCCGAAAGTTCGTCATTTTCGAGAATGTTGTAATTTTCTTTTGTGTTAGTACGTATCTGTAATATACTTATTTAATTTATTCAGTCTCATGGTTACGTGTTGTACTAATTTTTTTATGTTTATCTTAGACGTTCGATAATCGGTAATGTTTACATTCTTCATCCATGAGTTTTTATCGTACTACGCTATTCGGTAGACATTTATGTTGCCAATTCACGCACAGGACCGGCTTCGCCACTTATCAGTACTTATTTCTGTTACACCG